TGAACTAAAAGAAATATCAAGTATGTACAAAATTAATTTACAGGACCTAATTAATAAAAAACACTTAAAAAGTTATACGAAACAAAAAAAATAATTTTACTGGATCGAAAAATGTAATTCTCTATAGCGCAAATTTCTCTAATCGCATGCGTCCGACAACGACGTCTGCCCTCACGTGTCTGCCCGTTCGGGTAGGCATAGTTAGATTCGTGCGCTCCCCCACCACACGACAGCGCCGCGCCGTTGCCTGCCGCAGATGCCGCCACACTTCGGCGAATGTGCGCGACGACGACCGACGGCAGCGGCGGCGATGCAGAGTATTCGTTAAAAGGAATTTAAACTTCAAAAGCGAACTTTTTTGTAACTTGATACACCCAAAACTTCTAAATTACATGTTCCTAGGTTCAGTGATTAAGATTTCGTATACAAAAAGTTTGGCTTTGTAGTTCCAGTTCCGAATCCGTTCCGTTCGAATTTCGGGAATTCCGTTTGTAGAAAAATTCTGCACATCCTTTGAGACCTACGTACCAAGATTCATGGTCTTATCTTCAATTCAACCCCTATTTCACCCCCAAACTGGTAAAAATTTCAAAATGCTAGAACAAACGATTTTTTGTTTCTTATGACGTGATATTTGACGAACTTGCATACTAACTTTCAACCCTTATTTCACCCCTTAGCTGGTCGAAATTTCAAAAATGCTAGAACAAATGTTTAATGATTTCTTATCAAGTGCTTAAATATAAAGTTTCATGGTTTTATCTTTTAAAATTAAGAAATCCCATACAAACTTTCAACCTCTATTTCAACCCCTTCATCCCTTTTTTTCGAAATAAAAAGTAGCCTATGTTCTGTCTCAGGGTCTAAAGATTGTCTGTACCAAATTTCATCGAAATCGGTTGCGACGTTTAAGCGGGAAAGCGTAACAGACAGACAGACAGACAGACAGACAGACAGACAGACAGACAGACAGACAGAGTTACTTTCGCATTTATAATATTAGTTGGGATAGTTGGGATGGGATAGATTACAAATTTTGTTCAAAATGACCGCCTCGGCAACACGTATGTATACACTCACGAAATCTTCTAATTTTGACTGTTGTCGTATGCAGCCACATTTCTCTTTTTATTACTACACAAAGGCGGTATCTACTCGTGGATTGGAAGAGATGGCCCTATACAGTGGCCTGCACGTTCCCCAGACCTAATTCCGTTAGATTTTTACGTCTGGGAACGAGCTAAAGAACTGGTGTACGTAACGGATTCAAACAATAGAAGAACTACAACAACGAATAGAAAACGCCTTTGTAGTAATAAAAAGAGAAATGTGGCTGCATACGACAACAGTCGAAATTAGAAGATGTCGTGAGTGTATACGTTGCCGAGGCGGACATTTTGAACAAAATTTGTAATAATTAATAAACGATCAAAATAATTATTTTCGTCCTTAAATTCAAGAAATCCACATTGAAAAACGATAGGGAAAAGGTTTTTACATTGCATAAGATAAATAATTTTTACCTGTTAGGTGTTTAACGTGCTATTCACACAAAGAGGGGCTATAAACACAAATTTCGCAAATCAGTCCGAGTAGAGTCAATGCACTAATTTAAGGAATTTGTGAAGTTGTTGTTATTATTTCAACAAGATTAGTATACCATTTGAATGGGGATAGACTAGAGAAGTTTTGATAAAATCCGAAGATCGCTATGTCTATTATTTATTTTTTTATAGCCATGTAAACTTAAATGTTCAGTCCATTTTTAACTTTTCGGAAAACTTCAAAGCTGAATTTAAAAAAAACTAGATGATATTTGCCAGTAAATTTAGATTTGATGCAACCCTACATCAATGCACATCAAAACAAAATATTTACTTTGAGGCTACGCCTAGTAGTTTTTTTTAAATCGAAATTAAATGATGCGATTTGGGTATTTTGGTGAAATTACTAAAAAAATTAATATAAAAGTAGCCGCCTGGTATGGAACGTGTTATGGGGGCTGAAAATATAGGAAATGACCCATTCTATCCGCCAAATCATTTTGGCACACGATGCGCCAAACACCCTGTATAAAAACAGTAATAATGCTAAATAACAGGCGATACTAAAAAAATACATAAAATACCCTCAAAATGCCAACAAATGATAAAAAAAGATACTTTTTGAAAAAAATCTGCTTAAAAATTCGTATTTTTTTTGGTTATTTGATAAATTTCTCCAAAAAATGCCCCTATAACAGGTGGTTTTTATTACTTTGTATTATTCTCTATCGTATTATCTTTGTAAAACCAAAAATCGCATGTCTCTATCCCTATCACAACATTTGCTATGATCGTTTGAACAAAGGCCTGCCACAACATTATTCTCCGCTACAGGTAGAGACAATTTTAATTTTAACTAAAATGCTTATTTTACTTCGAAATCTTTTGTTTTTATTTGAAATCTAACTTGTCTTTATCAAAATTACAAATCTAGAGCCATTTTCAGTTTTGTTGTTAACGAAGCGTTGAATGGCGCGCCCGGAGAGGCTTAGTTCAAACGATCATTGCAAACGTTGTGATAGGGATAGAGACATGCGATTTTTGGTTTTACGAAGGTAATACGATAGAGAATAATACAAAGTAATAAAAACCACCGGTTATAGGGGCATTTTTTGGAGAAATTTATCAAATAACCAAAAAAACACGAATTTAAAAGCAGATTTTTTTCAAAAAGTATCTTTTTTTATTATTTGTTGGCATTTTTTGTTTCTTTTATGTATTTTTTTAGTATTGCCTGTTATTTAGCATTATTACTGTTTTTATTTTATCAGGATATACCGCTTAGTTTAAAAGTTATTACGTTTTCTTTACAATAAGTAATTGGAAGAAAAAAAAATCTATAAAAAATTTAAAAAAAAAACAAAAAAAATTTGACCTCTTTTTTGTCGATAAAAATAGGTCTAGTTTCATCTATTTTCATATGTACACTTTAACGTGACTCACACTGTATATTATTTAAGCCAAAATCGGTACAGTACTAAAATTAATGAGTTGTCCCAGTCGCCGGAAGAAAATGATTTCATTTTTACGGATCCGGCGATTGGGACCGCGGTCCTAGTTAACTGCGGTCCCAGTCGCCGGAAACCTCGATAAATTATTTTATTTTTCTATTGCTTTAATTCTTGAATTTTCTCGTTGTTGGAACGAGTTACCCGATAAAAATACACAAAAACATTTGTACAACTGCGTCTGAGCGTGTGTTTTGTCGCGATCGAGTAAACAGAGCTCAAGGCCGAGCGTGTGGTGTTAACGGATTAGGCTGTAGTACACTGAAAGAGGTAAATCTTCGAATCCAACTCGGCTGGGCAGCGTTCGGGAAGCTTCGCGATATGCTCACGTCCGAAATACCGCAGTGTCTCAAGACAAAAGTCTTTAACCAGTGTGTGTTGCCAGTGATGATTTATGGATCTGAAACTTGGTCGCTTACTATGGGCCTTATAAGAAGGCTCAAGGTCACCCAAAGAGCGATGGCGCGGGCTATGCTCGGAGTTTCCCTGCGTGATCGAATCAGAAATGAGGAGATCCGCTAGAGAACCAAAGTAACCGACATAGCCCGTAGAATTGCTAAAATTAATTGGCAGTGGGCGGGGCACATAGCTCGTAGAGACGATGGCCGTTGGGGCAGAGGAGTTCTCGAGTAGCGACCACGGGCTGGTAGACGTAGCGTGGGCAGGCCTCCCACTAGGTGGACCGACGATCTGGTGAGGGCATGCGCCGCGTAAGTAGCGCTCTATAGTGCTCAGCCTAGAATGGTCTATGTTGCAGAAGTCATAGCATTCGATTTCACACATAGCGTCGCATTCGCAATGGAATGTCAGCACGCCGATCTTCGATCGTATAAAATATTTTAATCTTCATCTACATTTACCTTGTGGTAAGAAAAACATTGTGTAGAATTCAAAATCCACGTACATTTTATCAACAAGAAGAGAAGAATACAAATGAATACTGATTGTACCTACTTAATTGTAGGTAAATTGTATTTATACTTAGTATAAAATGTAATATGTAGGCTTTGACAACATTGTAGCAATAAAGAATTTGAATTTGATACAAATTGCGTGTATTTAGTTTTTTATTCACCCTAAGTTCAACAGGTCATAGTAAGTTATCAATTACAAAGGTGGCCGAAGGTGGAAACAAGCTTCACACTGAATCCTCAAGCACAGAGGAACTGGCTATCTTACCTCCAACACTGCTGACATTGCGGTTATGGCGAAAAACTAAGGCCCGGTTTCCACTAAGGCGAAGCGGAGCGGAGAATTGTCGGGCTGTCAAATTTTTCTATCGAATTTGTGTTGTTTGTTTCGGAGTCCTCCACCTGGACATGAGCTCCCCTGGCTTACTTGGAAGTCTTTAAATAGACTTCGGACGCAGGTCGGCCGTAGTAAGGACATTTTTTTCAGGTGGGGATTCTTGGATGGCTTAAACATGGAGTGCAGGTGCGGTTTTGTTCCCCAGTCGATGAAGCACACGATGTCGTGCCCTGAGTGCCGCAGCAACTACACGCAGGAGGATTTGATGAATGCTGCTGACAACGCCACACTTGTAGCGGAGTGTGCCGCAACTGTGGTCTAGTGGTAAGACCACCTGCTTCAGACGCAGAGCTCCCGGGTTCGATTCCCAGTGGTAGCAGATTTTTCTGTTCGGTTTAGTTGGTGGTAGGGCTTGTTCTAAGTCCGCCTGGCTAGCTACCACCATATTACCTAAGTCCGTCGCCATAACAACAATGTTAACAGCATTGTTGTGTTCCGGCAGTTAGAGGTAAGATAGCCAGTTCCTCCGTGGTTGAGGATTCCGGGTGAAGCTTGCTTCCACCTTCGGCCTGATCGTCACTTACCATCAGGTAAGATACAGGCCAAGAGCTTCCTCGTTGTGGATAAAAAAAAAGTGTAGGTTTGTTGTCGACACGATAATAAGAAGACTTGGCTGAAATGAAGCTAAAGGAACACTCACCATGACTTCTTCAGGGTCAGCCTCAACGATGACCTGCTTGAACTCGACGTCCCCGTTGGAGATGGCCTCGGAGCCCCCCACTTTAAGAACCAATGGCCTAGTGCGAGGCCTGCCTATGCTACGTCTTCCGGCCCGTGGTCGCCACTCGAGAACTTTTCTACCCCAACGGCCATCGACTCAACGAGCTTTGTTCCCCGCCAACTGCCACTTGATTTTAGCAATTCTGTCAGATATGTCGTTCACTTTCTCCTGCGGATCTCCTCATTTCTGATTCGATCACGGCCTTTGTCCAGCAGTGGACGTCTTTTGTCTGAAAACATCTCCAAGCAAGTCAATAGAACACTCACCATGACTTCTTCAGGGTCAGCCTCGACGATGACCTGCTTGAACTCGACGTCCCCGTTGGAGATGGCCTCGGAGTCGTAGTTGGGGTCGTTGGCGTCTTCCACCAGCTCCTCCAGCATCTCTGAACCTGGAGCGCCCCAGACACCCTTGCCTCCGGCGCCACCTGGGAGAAAAACAATGTTGAAAACTTGGAAGCGTACTTTCAAGTACCTATAGGAGAGTACCTCTTGTTTGTATCGTAAACGAACTAAAGTCGCTGACATAGCCCAACGGATTAGCAAGCTGAAGTGGCAATGAGCAGGGCACATAGTACGCAGAACTGATGGCCGATGGGGCAGCAATGTTCTGGAGTGGAGGCCGCGTACCGGAAAACGGGGCGTGGGACGTCCACCCACAAGGTGGAGACCGACGACATCATAAAGGTAGCAGGAAAGCGCTGGACGCAGGCCGCTACCAACCGGCTAACATGGAAAGCATTGGGGGAGGCCTATGTTCAGCAGTGGACGTCCTATGGCTGAGATGATGATGATGATGATGACCTCTTGTTTGCGGTTATCGCTACTAACACGCGTTAAGAGCGTTTACGCGAAGCGCGGCGTTTCAAGGGGCATCATTGGAAATGATCCGCGCGCGGCCTTTTTTAATAGTTTTCAAATGTTTATAGCAAAACAATAACAATGAATTATATATCGTTTCAAAATATATTTAAAGAAGATGTTATTTTATTATAATAAGCTATTTTTATGTTGAATTAAAGAAGAATAATGGTGTAAAAATCACTTTGATTTTTGGGTATTTCACGTTCTTTGAATTTGTGATTTCTTATTGTAAAATGCATAAATTTAAAAAAATTCTCAACTAACTATTTGCCTAAGGACCTATGCTATAGGATATAAATGTTTGTTATATCGTTTTCACAGTATTTTTATAAAAATTTCAGCTTGTAAACTGATGCTAAAGTGGAAATTTGAAAACCTGTGTGGACTTATCTTGATAGAATTCTTAAATACTATATTAATCGAAATATTTTCTCAACTAACTATTTAGACGACGAAATTTCCTAATTATTTATGACCATAACATATTTGTAATGTAACTGGTTAATGATTGTAACGGGTTGAAAAAGTACTATTTTTGCGCCAAACGGCGTAAACGCTCTTAATCGCATTTTCTACAGCATCGCGCGACAGAATCGCTACAAAAAGTCGCCATGGGCGAGGACATGAAGAATCCTTTTTTTTAACAGATGACTAAAATAAGTATATAAGTATAAAGTATATTGCATAAATTAAGAGTCCCGTACCGCTCGTGCTAAGCTAATAAATGGTCAATCTATAAATTTTCTGATCTTCAGTCATCCTCAAACCAATATAAATGTTAGCTAACAAACACTTGATATTTTGTCTGTTGCATTAAAATGATAAGCACTCGAAAACAAAGATTAAAGTAGATTGCAGTGGTTATGAAAGAAGGTATTTGATATCAAATCAAACTTCTTATCACAAAATAAACATAATATTTAGTTAATAAACAATATTGTAATTTTATAGGTAATCAAATTGATGATTGTTTACATGTAACAAGGAAAATTAATTGGATTTAATAAAATATGTAACTAGGCTGGACCATGTAAGAAACACACACATAAGAGGCACCTTCAAAGTGAGACCTATCCCAGCTAAATTGCTGGAGAGCCGTCTGCGGTGGTACGGACACATCATGAGGCGACCACCCGACCATATGACCAGAAAAGTGCTAGACATCCAAACTAAGCCCCGCGGACGAGGAAGACCCTGAATTACATGGATGTCCGTAATCAATAACGACCTTAAAGAAGCCCAAGTTAACAGTAACACAACCCAGGGCCGAGCCGCCTGGAGACGCATGACGCGAAGGGCCGACCCCAAATAAAATGGGAATGGGCCAGGCAAAGTAGTAATATAAAATATGTAACTACTTAAGTCTCACAGAGTGATAAAATTTATTAATTTCAAGCCTTGAGAAAGATGAAGGTATTTAGCACTTGGTTCCTCATAGGGTGTGTAGACGGGGCTATCTGCTAAGAACAGATTTTACGAAACTCCACCCCTAAGGAAGTAAAACTGACTCCACAGTTCACGCGTACGAAGTCGCGGGCGGCCGCTAGTAATAATCTAAATTCTTGACAGTAAAGCTTACAGGATTACATACTGGATTTAAGTTGCATCAGACTTTAGGCAAATAATGATAATCCTAGCCAGATAATTGTAATAAACTTTATTATCTAGATAATTTTGAACTCTTGAAACTGTACAAGTTGATAAGAACTGATAACATGATATTTTAGTCAGTGAGTTGTTTTGAATGATAAAAACATAAAATATAACAAATATAAAATATCTGTGTGGTTTTGTTTGTCCCAATTAAGTATTAATATTAATAATTCTGTATTTATTATTAAGTCTATATTTTCCATTACATATAATGTCTATCAATACAGACTCCTCCCATGTTCTTCTGATTAATTTTAGTTGCAGGTCTAATGACAGTTTAACTTTCCCCGGGACAAACTTGGCCTTCACTGGTTGGGTTGGCGGTCAAGCTGTAGATCCTGGCTACACAGGAGTTGCAGCGGTGGGAACGAGAGGTGGGAATAGTCCCAATTAACACTACATTCAACCTCTATTATAGAGTTCACATTTCTTAATTTGTTGTTTATAAAAATTACATTTAATTTTGTTAATTACATGAACTTTATCTCAACAGCTTAAGGTTAATATAAATATAATATTTTTGATGTAATAATGCTGTTCATTTACAAAAACATGGATGATAAGGTACCAATAATTATAATGATTTATTTAAATTATTGTTTAGTCTGAAGCAGCTATATGTACTATTGAGCTGTTTAATTACCAAGTTCTTAATGGAATATCTCAAAAAGCTTTTACAAGGAATATCTCAAAAATCCTTCAACTGTGAGTAATAATATTGATTTTTCTAATTTTAACAAAAAAAGAACAGAATCATTTTATTTAATTATAGTGGATCAGTTCCTTATAAGTATCTGATAGGTTATTAGAAAGTTATCTGTTGGATAAACTATACATTTTGGCCACAAAGATATCTGATAGATAAAGTTAAGATTTAGTTGTTAGATAGTGATAAAGGACAGATAACAGCCAAAAACTTTTTCAGGAACTAGTGAAAACTGTAGTTAGGTAGTCATGTAATTTATTAATTAATTTGCTAATTCTACTCATTAGCATAAAAAACTTCCGGCAATTCGAATTTAAAATGCGTTTTAACAACTTGTAGAGGTATAAATATTTATGTTTACATTTTAAATGTCAAAATGACCTTGAATGAGGATCAGTACTGTTGTAGAAAATTCAATAAAACTTGTATCTACGTTAATCTTTAAGACATAAGAAAGATATATCTTTTTGAATTATCCAAATCGGACCATTACTTACGAAGATATTAAGTAATAAACATAGGCCGTTTTTGCCGCTAAAAGTCAACGTACGCAAGGCCGCGTGACGTCATTATATCCGAATCGAGCGCAGCCGGCGTACTAATGGGATGGAAAATATTTTTTTCCGGCTAAACTATCAGTTTTAGAAAAAAACATTTTCATAGCAATGTCATATTGTTAGAAGTTATACCTTATTGTTAGAAGTAAATAAATTAATACTTATACATTTTTATATTTTACTTGGAAGAAGATATGACTCTAACAACACTTATGTACACTTTATTTGAATAAATCGCCAAATATACCACCGCGGAGACCCCAATCGCGTCTCTGCGTGCCATTGAATCGTATGAGCGTATGGATTTTTTGCGTTATTTTTCACAATTTCCATTTTTAAAAATTACCTATCGATAGCTTACTTTATTCTGATGAATAAATGTCATTACAAGTTTTTCTCTAAAACTGATAATTTGGCTAGAATAAAATATTTTCTATCCACGCAGTACGCCGGCAGCGTTCGAATCGGATATAATGACGTCATCGTCCCCGCGCCGGGCGGTCAGTGAACTTTTTTAGTAATTTGGCCATAACTTTGTCAATTTTTGTCGTAGAACAAAAATTTTTGCACTGTGTATTAAGGATTTCTTAGCCCTATAAATCTGCATTCACAGCTAAAAATCGAAATGATCCTCATTAGCAGGCGCTAAAGAGGTTAGGAAATTGATATTTGCTATTGAACAGGGTAGGGCTCCTAATCTATGGCTAGATACCGGTTACAAGGCCTAAAACGAACGATAATGAAAGTTGTTTTGAATTACCTAACCAGTCATTCAAGAACTACGACCTATGCCAAGACTCGTATGGCGTCAGTCGCCATGTATAATAAAAATAACATACAGCTCGATTGATATCCGCAGACGCGAACTGCGCACATAACCTGTATCTGGGCTGACCTTGAAGCAGAAACTTCTAAAACGCATGCGGCAAAACCATAATATTATTATTCCGTCGTAGTAAACAAAGGTTACGTAAACCGTACCTGTGTTCACTGCGTTCCTATTTCCAGAAAAATCGACGCAATATGCCGGCTATTGATGTTTTATAGGTTGCTTATAATGTAGGGAAAGGTTCAGTCGGCGAGCTCACCTTTTTTCGGCAAGCCCCGGCCGTGTCCATTGCGTGGTCGGCGGCTATTCTTCCAGCTACGGTACTTGGGTAAAGGAGTCGTACTAGCAACTCCACCATCTTTGCTGTTCGAGCGGGCGTATTTCTTGCCTTTGCGTTTCAAGCGCTCGCTATTAGAAGTCGTAGCGTCTCCCGCTGCGCCCTCGTCGGCGGCCACCGGCTTCGCGTTCTCATCCACCGCCACGTTTTCGTCGGCACGGTCGACCTCCATCGTGGCGAGAGGATTCAATTGAACGCTCAGCGGGAGTGGAAAAAGAGTTTTTTATGAATGATTTACAGCGCAAGGGAGCGAATCGACTTGGATTCTCACAAGAATTAGATCCCAAGAATAAGATTGGGCCTATAAACAATGGACCGCACCACGACGCACGTATTTGTTTTGAGAGCGCACCAGTGTGAAGTTAGCAAAATAACATGGCGGCGGTCGACGAGGCGATAAGTAGTACCAACTGTAAAATAAAAACACTTATTTAATAGTTCCAAGATATGATTACAGATGGCGCTAACATTGACTAGAATGGTATTCAATAAAAATCAGTTTTGTTATAAAAATTAGGAAAGTTATTTCCGAAAATCAAAGTTTTATAAATTTAAGCAGCTAGAACTCCTTTCATATAGGACTTAAATACAATAAAATTGTTTCATGTTGTTTTTATTAATTAAGATTATGATTTAGATTCTCATCTCATTCTCATCACTAGTAAAAAAAATTTTGATAATGCCAACATAAAGATAATTGCTGTCAAAAGTGACACGTAAATTTTTGTAAGTTTTCCAAAATTACAAAGTGAACTTTTTTGTTTTTATCAATAAAATAATGAAAAAACACAAAGAAAACTTATTTGCTGAGAAGTTCCACTTGCTAAGCAGTCAGCAATCTGAAGATATAACTTGGTCGTCCAGCGAGTCGAGTGATTTCGAGACAAATCCACCGAACGTCGACAAACTTTGTAACATTACTAATAGGAAAAGCATTAAACGAAAACGTAAGCAAACAGTGCCAAAGAATATCTCTAACTTAGATGTAACCATCGTAGATGTGAATAAAGATGCTAAAAGACCATCAATCAAAGTTGAAATTGAGGATCCCTTATTCAAAAGTGAAAATGAAATTTCGGGTGCCAAATCGCCAATTTTAGGATCTACCCAATATTTCCCGCCTTATCAATGCAAGAATATCGATACCTCTCCCATTATCACGACAAAATCATTTGAAAACCGGTCAAAAGTGATAACAAGTCCAATTTTAGTCTTGAAGGCAGCATCGCCGAAAATATCCCCAAATGTACGCAAGAAATTATTTGAGAATAAGAAAAACATCTCCGAGAATACCGCAGACATACATAAAAGTAAATTGTTAACTTCAAGTAATAATAACTATTGTTTAGACCGAAGAAAAGTACTCGATGAAGAATTCAACAACAATTACAACAAAGTTACCAAACAGAAAAAAGACATTATAAAATCTGAAATAAATCACTGTAAAGAAGAAAATAGTGAACTTCAATCAATAAAATGTGAATTATCAAGTCAAAAAAGTGTAAAATTTGATAATACAGATGAAATTGAGATTTTAGAAACACAGCAGAGCAGTAATTTTGAAAACACACCAAGAAAACTTAATTTGGATGAAAGTGTATCAATGTTGAAGACTTCAAGCACAGAACTAGCTAAAAAAGTTGAAAGCTACTTCGATTGTCATTTTAGTTCGGAGAATGCATCTCAAAACACAATCAGTGAAGTATCAACTCCGAAAAACAACTCAAGAAGTAGCGACGACATCGAAATACTAACCATAACGACTCAAGTAGTATCAAAAAGTAGTATGGAGTCTATGAAGCCAGAGATAGAAGTAACCACAAATAAAAAAGAAAAAAAGATTCGCTACAAAAAGGATGGTCTAGCCTACAGGTTGAACTCTTTAGTGAAAAAGCAAGCGGCCAGTATTTCTCTCTGGCATCATGAGAAGTTTTTGGCGGCAAATTCAAATTTTTTCATTCCAAAAGGAGAGTTTCTTGGGTTTAGGATTTGCAAGATTCATTTCAAATATGGCTGCTACCTACTTGAGGCTATGGACACAAATGATGATAATTTTATGATTTTTATCAATAAATGCCACATGACAAGTGAAACAATTTCTGAAGATAGCATCCTGAAGCTGTATGAACCATATAAAATGTTAAGTTTTAATAATAACTGTAAATATGTGATCAATGTTGTTAAGTTTGAATTTGTAAATATTAAGAAATAATATCTTCTGACTGTTGTATAGAAAATAAATGAAATTTTAAACTGTTATAAGAGTTTTATTCATTATCAAAAGAGGAGACTAATGTTGCTTTGTATAATAGGCTTCTGGCCTAGTTCAGACACCATTTCTCTCACAATCTTGCCCTCTTCAAATAGCAATTTGTGTTTTACATTGGATTGCGAAAGAAAGAAATAAATGCTTTTATATTATTTACTTGTCTCCACATTGTAAATAAACAGCTGAACTAATTAGCATCAACTTACAGACTTCTATAACTTAATTTTTTAAAATCTTATATTACATGCAAAAAGATTCCGATTTTATTAAAATTTATGAACTATCTGTGCCTGGGACTTCGTACGCGAGGAAATCAAATCGTAATTTTTCCCATGTTTTCTCATCGTTTATACCTTCCCTGGACTACAACAATTATTTAAAAACCAAAATCAGCCAAATCGGTCCAGCGATTCTAGAGTTTTAGCGGGCTTATCGAACAGCAACTCATTTTTATTAATTATAAAAGATTTCGATCTAAAAATTCGAACATTATAATGTTCACTGTTCTATTACCGAAATAAAGGTGATTTTCGGTGATAGGTAATTGAAACCTAAATAAACAAGTTGGTTTTCGGTTTAATTAAGTGCCTAAAATAAGTCGTCGTGACTGTCGCAACACGATAAAAAGCCTCTCTACATCTGTGGATTGACGCACTCGTACTGTTATCGCTGCCCACACGATAGTCTTATTTTGATAAACTTGTAATTGCGACTTGGTAGATGTGGACCCCGTTTTACCCCCTTAGCGGTTGAATATTGCTCGGAAATTATTCGAATTTTTCTCGTAGTAAAAACCATCCTTGGACTTCAACGAACATTAAAAAAAAAATTTGGTAAAATTATCCAGGCTTTGTTGAGTTACTTAAGCGCTTACCAACACGTTTTTTTTGCGATTAATTTTCTTACCAACATTTATGTTCCTTATCAAGGAACTTCATGTAACTTTGCATTTACTGGCAACATTTCCCTACAAGTCACCCCGAAATATGGGTGATAAAAAGCACTCAAATGGCAACACCGCCTGAAAGCTCCATCGGCTTCCGGTTTCATTCAGTCGATATTCTAGCGAAAGCTTGTAACACGTTCATGAAAACCATGACCTATTTAGTATAAAGCTTTTTGTAGAACTTTATAAATCCTACGCTGTTTTAGGCACTGTATTTTTGGTCGATTGCTTACATAGTATTTTTGGACGTTTTTTGAAGTATTGTGCGTATTTCGTGTAAAATTATTGTGTGGTGTATTGATTTGATCGCTGTACCTGAAGGTTTTACGTAAATTAAAACACAGGTAAGTTGTAGTGTTGTGTAAGTAATATTCTTTGGGAAAATGTTTTAGTTATTAATTTATCGTAATAATCATTTTTACATAGGTAGGCTATTATTTTTTTGTTTTATGTTAATGTTTGGATTGTGAAATATTAATCTCAGAATTACTTAGTTACTCAAGTAAGACGAGTGCATTACTATTATAACTACTATTCAAGAAATGTTTTGATTGATATTCAATTCGGAAATATTTCTGAATGTAACTAGTTACTTTGGATAAAATTTACAGGATACGATTTACAAGATAGATTTGGGAGTGATTTTAATTTCAAAATACATACACGTACTTACCTACTTAGGCCTAACTCATAATAATTAGGTACTAAACTACTAATACATCGTAGTTTAAGTTCTTATCGAATAAGTACGTACATTTTAAGTTGAACTAGAGTAAATAGACAAAGCTCACTGAACGAAGCTCCTAACTCTACCTAAGTACTTAATTTCTAGAAGTAGTGGGCATAGGCATTTGAGGATCAAGTTCTTTTCTTCTAAAAAAAAGCTTTTCGCGAGCTTTTCAGCGATTACGATATTTACCTTACAACTTTTGGTTGTTATCTAGTTCAGTTTTTGAGAGCAGACGAGATGGGGTCTCCTCTATAATCGATTTCAGGCTCCCCTTGACCTCAGGGCCCTAGACACAGGACCAGAGTGCAGGAAAGAGGGCCCTGAAAGTAGTTACAGGCTTTAACAGGCCCGGACTTAGTTGAAAGCTTACAGAAGGGTGCTTAATGCCCGTTTTCACCACCAATCCCTTTTCATAGGAGTCACTTAAAAATTAGGTTTATGGAGAAAACGGTCATAAAACTCAAAATTGGAAGCATATAGAGAGGCTTTTAGTTTAGACCAGCCTTTCCCAAAGTGGGCGATAACCCCCTTGTGTGTGCTGCAGGCCTAAAGCACAAATTATATTTTGTGCCTAAAGGAAGGCGGTAAGAGGCCCAAAAAAAAAACGAGGCGTTGTGTAGAAGCTTAGGGCGCGATTTATGATTTCATCTATTAAAGTGGTTTTTAAGTAGGTGAAAAAATGGAGGCGCTAAAAATGATTCATTCTCAAAATGGTCAGTAGACAAACGCCCGTACACAAACAATGACGATGCTTGCATAAGTGAAGCAGCAAATCGAACGCACAGTGTTGAATAGAGCTCTGTGATTAATTCGTGTGTCACCCTGTGCGTCCACGCGCACTGTGAGACCTCATAGTAATGTTTGTGAATACGGACGCAAATAAGTTTGGGTACCTCTGCTTTAGACTATCTGAATTCCAATATCTAGATCAATCACAGGAAGCTAAACTAAGATTGAATCGAGTTTTTATCGTTTTGTAATACGACCTAGGTACTTATCAAGTGTTGATGGCTCATTTACCCAGTTATTTATTTAGGAACTCATCGATATAAACACATTCTTCAAAATCTTTGGGAGCGTTTAAAAATAACTTTGTTGATTGATTCTGATTACAGACGGATTTATAACGTGACGTATGAAAATCGTGACTCACGATTATTCATTCAGTATACCTACCGATTACTTATTATTATTCTGTGCCGATAGTAACTAACCCCCTTACTAATAAAAAGTTACACGGTTGTTGATCACCGTTTTAAAATGACATTTCCATACTAAAGGTCACTTTAAAACACTGATCAACGAGCGTGTAAGTTTTATTAGCAAGGGGGTAAATCTATAACTAGACTAGCTGTGCCCGTGACTTCTTATGCGTGAAAATCGTTTGAATATTTTCCCGATTTCGCAAGATTTTTCACGTAAGCTCTGCAAAATTAGTCTTAACGTGGTTATTTAGCTAGTCTTCTTCTATAATGAGCTCCATCCAACTGAAAAATCGGACCAGTAGTTTAAGTATTTAATATATCTTATTTAAGTAGAAACAGCAAAATTTAAAAGCGGTCTTATCGCTGGAGAGCGTCCTCTTTCAAACTACCCAAGGCGGCGGAAGGGGAAGGTGGTGATTAAATTAATAAAGATGTTCTAAAAATGCGTACCTACCTACATTAACGGTTATAAACGTTTATTATGATAGGTAAATCTTTTTGTCCTACTAAAGCAGCAGAAAAGGCCCATTAAATATTAACGAAAGCATCTCGTTTTTTCATATTCTACACAATAAAACGGCTCTTAACAATGAGAAAGCGGCTAATGAGAGACTTTAGTGCAGTCTTTTAAATGTTATACCTACGTAAGTAATATAGGAGACATGCAAAGAGCCAGTTCTAGAGACTATAATAACTTTTATGAGTTGAAAAATAAATATGACTTCCCAATTTTTAATTCAAAATTAGCGAAATAACACGCGAGCCGACGTCGCATCGTGGGTAAAGCAAATCAGACAATAATTGAAGGATGTGTTTTTGAATTTTTTTAATAATAAACACCATAGAATACGGAACCCTTGGTGACCAAATCCGACGAGCATTTCTTTAGATTTTTGGGTTAGATGAGAAAATCCTTGGGGAAAGCCTTTATACCGCTGTCCGCAGTCTTTGGTTGAAACCTTCATAGAAGGGAAGAAACGAACAAACGCAAAGTACCTATGTACTTACTTTAGTTAGCAAAATTCTTCTACAAAATAATCTGTCGAGTTAAAGGACGTATTCTTCTATAATATAAAAATGAATCGCAAAATGTGTTGGGTAGCGCATAACTCAACAACGCCTGGACCAATTTTACCAATTCTTTTTTTTAATGTTCGTTGAAGTCCAAGGATGGTTTTTACGGCGAGAAAAGTTCAATTAATTTCCGGGAAACCCCTAAAAAACTCGAAACTTCACCCCTAAGGGGGTAAAACGGGGTCCACGCGTAGAAGTCGCGGGCGGCCGCTAGTTTATTAATAGATTTACCTATTTTATTTTCATCTTATGTTTACAAACTAGGTAGTTCGTCTTTTTGTAGTTCACAGAACTCTGGTGTGTGTAAACAGTGGCTAACGTTGGTTTATTTGTACACAACCACGGATCATTATTTTCAACGTCATTATCAGGTAATTAATTTAATCTCCACTGTATATTAGGTATCAGTATGCAAATAAATGGGATTACTAATGTTTGGCCAAAAAACGTTTCCCAAATTATCACATCGCAAACAACGTTTCGCAAATTTTCATTTGGCAAATTCTCACTTGGCAAAGCAACTTATTGCAAACTTTAAATTCGCAAATGTTTTTTTTGGCATATTATTGTTTAGCAAATTATTGTTTGGCAAAGCATGGTTTGCCAAATGTTTCATTAGGCAAAAACATTTCACGATAAACTATTTACAAAATAATTTGATTGGTGCATAGAATGGTATACAAATAAGCTTGTGGTTATTATTTTGTTTAGTGGGGAGTTAATATAAAATTTGTTGTACATTAATTTCCTTATTTCATTCTTTGTATCGAAATTTCCAAATGATTCAATAACAATAGAGGTGATTCTAGCGCTCGGCGGCCGCTGCCGCGGCACGCTTCGCTCGCCTTCGCGCATTAAGGGTCACTGTTCTAACCTAACCTAACCTACTATTTTCTGCAATACCTACTTTTTGCAACCATACTATTTTCTGCAATGTTTTACATAAAATTATTGTGAAAACCATGATCATGTGCCTTATGCTTTGATTTGTGGGTAACGGTGGGTAAGTATGTGAAGTGTCAATTTGACCAAACAAATTATTTGGGATATAATATTTGGCAACATAAAACATTTGCTATATAAACATTTGCCAAGTAAAATTTGGCCAAATGATAATTTGACCAAATGAATTAGTTGCGAAAAGTACAGTTGCTAAAAGTTCATTTGGGAAATGAAACTTTGGCGATAAGTTGTTTGCGAAGTGAAATTTGGCGAAAAGTAATTTGGCCAAACGGAAGGATACCAAATAAATGATACCTATACAGGGTGTTAGGTAAATGGGTATATGAGCCGACACTACCCCATGTTAACATGGTCATATAAATGGTATGGTGAAGTCAGAAATTTGATATCATTTTATTTTTTTTAATTTTCATACAAAATAAATTTTATAAATTCCGATTTGTATGAAAATTTAAATAATTAAAGTGAAGATATCAATTTTCTGACTTCACCATACCATTTATATGACCATGTTAACATGGGCTAGTGTCGGCTCATAAACCCATTTACCTAACACCCTGTATAGGTACTATGTTATTTACCAGAGGCACAAACGCAGTAGGTATGACATACTATGAAGTAGGTAGGTAACATTATTATTCTTCAATGCCTATTATTAAGTAGGTACCTACTCTCCGCACTGGCCAGCCTGAATAGGGGGGCCTGGGTAGTCACCTAGAAAATTGTTATTTATTAATATTATTACTCAGTCAGAACCACACATTCCCCTATTAGCTACCTACATTTATGTAAGTATAGCTACGATAGTCGAACGGTGAAGGGGCCGGACTGGCCGACTCGAGATCCGAGGAACGCGGGTTCGAATCCCACCGCCGCTCGGCTATTGTGGTGAGCCCACTCGTAACACAAGCTTATTTAGCTTACCACGAGGGGCTAACAGGACTATTAGTAATAATAATTAAGTTATCTACTATTAAATAAGCTAGTTTTATTAATGCCTAAACTATCATTTATCATTTCTAAAAGCAATAAATAGGTACTTAAGGCCTTCGAACCTTCTTTTCCGCAGTCGGTTGATGAACATCAATTAACTAGGTAAACAATCAAAATGGCGGATCGGATGTACACAATATCATACAATATCCTTGATTAGGTGTACCAAACATAAAAATAGGTCATCGATTTTCAGTCGATTGTTCAGCACATTAGTAATTTGACACCATGTACAAAGGTTGTGGTAACCTTTCAACATTTTAAGAAATCCTTGGATATTTATTTATACTAGCTTTGCCCCGCGGTGTTACCCGCGGTAAAAGATAACCTATGTGTTAATCCAGGGTGTCCTAACTCCATATTAAATTTTATTAAAATCGCTCTAGCCGTTTAGGCGTGAAGAAGTAACAAACAACACACTCACATACTTTCGCCTTTATAATATTAGTGTGATAACTAGCTCTATCTAGTCCCAAAGCAAAGCTTGTACCTACAAAAGAAAGAAAGAAAACTAATCCAAATAACACTCCTTCTGATCCAGTTGGTTAACACCTTTGCTGCGGCAGTAACTTTCTAATACTTTCCATTCCTTCGGTACAAGGTCAGTAAACCTGGTATTAAAACTTACATTGTGGCGGCACAAGGCTTAAAGACCTTGTAATATTTAAGATATATTAATTTTATTTTCGGCTTCATGTTAATAGATATTTTGTTTTTTTTCTTTGCATATTAATAATAATGCATTTATTGACATACACCTGAAGGCGTTCGTGAATAACTTGTTTAGTATAAAAATTATAGCTATATTCAAAATACAAGGCTTATGCACCCTGTGCCGCACTGAAGTAGGGAAGTCTGGTGGGTATTCTAGGGATGTGAAATACAAATATCGATAGTTTAAATTAAGTTTTTATAAAAATTTAAAAAAGTAACAAACAAAGATGTTTTAATAATTGAGTCTAAATATTTTACAAATAAGACATACGTGCATAAATACTTAAATAAGCTATATTTAAAGAAAACATTATTTAATAACATTTAGTTACAACTTCAAATGTTTGTCACGAAAAACATTATTTAAATTAGCAATAAATCGTGTAGCAAATTAAATTATAATCAATTAGCAGTTTTGATTTTGTTTGTTTCTCTTGACGCCATGTCGACATGTGCGTTTCTTACGAATGCGAGGCAACACTGGCTGCACGAAGCTAGCGTGGGGTGCGGTACCAGGTGCGCAGGGTACAAGGTGCTTCGACCTGGTTTCGCATTGTGAAGACATTTTATTACTTCCGTGCGGTACCAGGTCTAAAAACCTGGTATTAAGGTAGGTACATCATTGGATTCTATTTTAAGAATACATCATAGATATATATTCATCACTTTCCTACACCGGACCCAATTGAAGTTATGCCTTTCGCACGACAAGGAAGACTATAATTTTCTTAGCCGCACGGTAAGCGAGACGTACACAAGGTCTATAGACCTGGTTTCGCACTCAACGTGTTAAAAAAAAGCTATGGGCCCCAAACAAAATAATTATTCTTTTAATGTCTAATTACCTACTTACCTCATCATCATCATCATCATCATCATTTCAGCCACAGTACGTCCACTGCTGGAACATAGGCCTTCCCCAATGATTTCCACAATGGCCGGTTGGTGGCGGCCTGCATCCAGCGCCTTCCTGCTACCTTTATGAGGTCGTCGGTTTGCCTTGTGGTGGATTATACTTGCCTACATACTTGTTAATTGTTTCAGATACTAAGTATGGGCACAGATGGCTGTCAGCGAAGAAGCATATTGTTGGCAGTTGCTGTATTTTTCTCGTGGATCACTGTTGGTGAGTTTCAACCTCCGGCGTTTTCCAAGGCTGTTCCCTAACACGGCCTGTTTCCAGCAGTGGATCCGGGAAATCACTAAGAATAGGGGACTCTGCCTGAAAGTCAGATCTGGAACAGACTGCTTCCTCCTGGCCTGGAGGCCAAGACTCCACGACTGCCCCTACTCTGGGCCAGACTGCTTAGCTCAGATACTGCGGCTTCTGCTCTTAGAGTGTGCATATGCTCCTGCTGCAGTAGACTAAATGACCTGACAAAATGGCCTTTTCTCCAAACCGCGTGGCATAGAGTGCTTCAAGTGCGTGTCGTCGATGCATAATGATGCTTCAGAGCCAAGGAGCTCCAGTATCCTAGACTGTCCACCTGATTACTATCCATTTGAGAAAGACTCAGCAATCGAATCTTCTCCACAGCACATAGCATCGACTGCTTCAAATGCGTGTTTATGAACGGCGTGCGACGATACCCTCCACAACAACTACTCACTGCAGATGCAATGGATGCTGGAGGCACCCTGCATATTATGGGCTCCCTGCCTCTACTATTATTACCTAGGAATCTATGTAGGAAGAAATCCATTTATGCTTAGGCAGTAGGAAGGGAAGTTCCAGCAGCTGATTCGGGAAATTAGAAAGCCCTTGAGCAGCCTGCTGTTTCGCTCTTAGTATCTAAGTGCGGGGGAACTGAAAAAACTAGAGGGCAGCTACCCTATGTTTTTTTCAAGCGTCTAAGAGAGGGGGCCTTGCCTCCCCTGAGTCAACATTCCCTAATCCCTCCTGCTACCCAACTCTCCCTGGGTCAGCGTCCCCTCAAGGCCAGTTCGTTCCTTCTCGCTCTACCTACCTATCTAGGTCCTGTACTCCTTCAGATCCATTTAGCTAGCGTGCGTATGTAGGCTAAATTCTTCATTCTTTGTTTGGGAGATCAAATGACCTGATGATCCTTGTCCACAGCACATAGCATCGACTGCTTCAAATGCGTGTCAATGAACGGCAACTTCCCAGCGTGCGACGATCCTTTCCACAACAATCACTCGCTACAGATGTTGGAGGCGCCCTGCATGGGTGGCAGGAAGGGACGGGACGGGTTGTTCCCTGCTACGTCCTGCATCAAGATCGCTGGGGTCTTTGGTGAGTATTCTACCCCTTTGTAAAGACTCCAAAATAAATAAATAAATAATAAATATTCCTTCCACGTGTAACCGCCAGCGACCACAACAATTGTTGCGTCACTTATGCAAGCATCGTTTGTGAATACGGATGTTAGTCCCGTAAGTGCTGCATAAATTAATACTACAATAGCCGCCCAGAACGAAATAAAATGACTGAGATTTTGGATTGTTTTGGATTTTTACTGATAAAGATGCGTCCAAACGTTAAAAGTGGCGAAACATTTTAACAGAAGGTTAATATTTCGGTTGAGGATTGAAATACCTAGGTTCTTTGCTTTAGCCTTTAAAAAAGATTCAGTAATTTGGTATTTGACACAGTTCATCTGAGGGACCACATTCGGCGAGTTGTAGCGTCCAACTTACAAGTTACAACATCTACAAATTTATCATTCTGGCAGGTTTTGCTAAATCTTTATGTATACGTTTCGTTTTCCACAGTGGCCTTTCGAAGGGAACGCACATAATAACACTCAAAATCTTCCTCAGATGACACGGGAGAGTCGATCACGGTGAGAGGCTGTGGCCTGGACTCTGGGACCGCCACGACAGACACAGAAATCATCAGAATGTCCCACTGCGGACGGTTCTACTATAACGACAAGTAAGTCCAAGTGTTAAAAATCAAAATCAAAAATATTTTATTCAATTTAGACCACAGGTGTGGCACTTATGATAATATAAAAACCAGTCTAAGGCGCGATTTTCACCAAGGTATGGAGCGGAGCAGAGAAGTGTTTGGATTGACCAATCAGATTCCATTATTTGCATATCTCCTCTCTTCTCCGCTCCGCTGTGGTGGAAACCGGGCCTTAACAGTGCCGTAGCGTGTAGATGGGCACTGTATCATAACCCCGTAACCCCCCAAAAACCCAAAACCCAGAAATAACCCTGTAATCCCCAAAACCCTGGATAACCCCGTAACCCCCCAAACCCTGCAATATCCCCGTAACCACCAAAACCCTGCAATAACCCCATAACCCTCAAAACCCTTCATAACCCCGTAACCCCCAAAACCCTGCATAACCCCGTAACACCTAAAAACCCTGAATAACCCCCAAAACCTTGCAATAACCCCGTAACCCTCAAAGCCCTGCAATAATCCTTCAACCCCCAAAACCCTGCAATAACCCCGTAAC